CCTAGACCTTCTCCGTGGGTCTCAAAAAGCCCCGAATGAGGTCTTCCATGGTAACTTATAGGGAATGGTGAATAACTGCCAGGGGTAACAGATTTACATAACAGCAGGTAGGTCCTCTCAGGTGAACAGATTTTCAAAAGGCTTCTATAGATTCTTTAATTCTATTTAGGTGAGCAAATGGTTACAAAATCTTTCAAAGATTAACTTCTAAGTTCTAAGGTAAGTCTATCACTTAACAGAGGGGTTAAACAGAGATATGTTGGCTCCATATTTATTAGGTTATCGTGAATGGAGACAGGTAGTCTAGAGTGTTAAAACAAGAGCTTTGTTTTTAGCCATTCGGGAAGCTGTCTGTTCCGGGGGGCACTCCATTGTCAGCTCTCAGCCTGTAGTTTTTAACAGATTCACTTTGCTTTACAAAGCAAATCCAAACCTTTAGGTCTGAGAAACGCGGCGCCTTGTGGGATACAGCCGCTACTGTCTTTCAGAGACGCCCTTCCGAGTGTAACAGCATTCGAAATGCAAACCAACACATTCACATATTCCTTCAGGGCAAAGCTCTTCAAAACTTCTAAGACAAATCCCGTCTGCAAACACGTTTAATATTAATTCATGGAGGAACACCTTCTCAAAGGCTTACTTTACCCCTGCAAAAGGAAGTAATTATGTAGAGATCACCTCCCACTCCTCACTACCTCTCTGCTAGGATTTATCACTTTATAAATCACAATGGCTGCTTTTCTACAGATCCAAGAGTATAGCTTAATATCTGAGGCACTCCTTCCACCCTCCTGCATATTCCAGCATGCAAATCTTAATTAAGTAAGTAACACCCAGATGTGTTTCTAGTAACTCCTGGTAATAACCTTTTTGTTGCTTTTCTCATTAACCATCTCATTTTATTCCCAAGGTAGTCTTATTGGGCTGTTAAAAATAGCTTTTGGTAGGATAAAAATCAAAAGGATATTTAGGTAATAACAATACACATCTTTGTAGGGGTTCAAATAGCTTCTATTGTAAGATCAAAAAGTTCATAATTGGGCCGGGAGCGGTGGCTCATGCCTGTAATCCTAGCACTCTGGGAGGCCGAGGCGGGCGGATTGTTTGAGCTCAGGAGTTCGAGACCAGCCTGAGCAAGAGCGAGACCCCGTCTCTACTAAAATTAGAAAGAAATTAATCGGACAACTAAAAATATATACAAAAAATTAGCCGGGCATGGTGGCGCATGCCTGTAGTCCCAGCTACTCGGGAGGCTGAGGCAGGAGGATCGCTTGAGCCCAGGAGTTTGAGCTTGCTGTGAGCTGGGCTGACGCCATGGCACTCATTCTAGCCCGGGCAAAAGAATGAGACTCTGTCTCAAAAAAAAAAAAAAAAAAACAAACTTCATAATTGGGCCGAGTGCAGTGGCTCATGCATGCCTGTAACCCCAACACTTCAGGAGGCTGAGGCAGGAGGATTGCTTGAGGCCAGGAATTTGAGACCAGCCTGGGCAACATATTGAGACCTCATCTCTACAAAAAAAATTTAAAAATTAGCCAGGCCCAGTGGCGTGTGCATATAGTCCCAACTATTCAGGAGGTTCAGGTGGAAGGATCACTTGAGCCCAGAAGTTCAAGGTTACAGTGAGCTATAATCGCACCACTGAACTTTAGTCTGGGAGACAGAGTGAGATCCTGTTTCAAAAAAAATAAAAAGTTCATAATCCACAGTGTTGGTGAGGGGAACTAGCCTGCTCACATGCACTTCCTGCTCGTATGAGCATAAACTGGGACAACCCTCTTTGAAAAGCAACTTGGCCTAAATACAAAAGTGTAAAATACACAAACCTTTTGACCCAGCAATTGTCCCTCTAATTTATTCTGAAGATACGTTACTACAGAATTGTCTGTAGTAGAAAAAGATTAGGAACAACTTAAACATCAACGCCCAAGGGTATAGTCATACAACATAATACTACGTAGCCAGTAAAAATAGCTAATGTTTCGTTGATAACTACACGACCGGCATTCTAAGCACTTTACACGTACTACTTCATATAATCCTAACAACAACCCTATGTTTGTCCCAATTTACAGATGAGCAAACTGAAGCCAGCACAACGCCTAATTGCTCCTTACCTGTGCGAAAGGCTCTAAGAGGCAGCTTCTGTAAAGACTGTAGGAAGTGGCTCGGGGCAGTGTTCTCACAGTGGCGGAGGCTATAAACAAGCAAAAATGAACATTAAATATTTTCCTTAAAAATAAAAATAAAATTAGTGAATCAATCAACAAAACTTGAATACAGCTGGCAGATTCAATCACAGTATTATATCAATGGTCGTTTCTTGGTTTTGACAACTGTACTATGGCTATGTTAGAAAACGTCCTTGTAGGAAAAAGGCTGAAATATTTAAAAACAAAGGGTGATCAAGTCTGCAAGTTGCTCTCAAGTGTTTCAGAAAAAAAAATAGTTATACTCACACATATACATATAAACAGAGAGGAAATGATAAAGCAAATATGGTTGACATTTGGGGAATTGGGGTAAAGGGCATTTGAGAATTCTATGTACTATTTTTATAACTTTAAGTCTGAAACTATTTCATAATAAAAAGGGATTTTTTTCTTAATGAAGCATAAGATCATAATAAGCAGTAAAACCAGCACTCTTACACAAAACCATGTACTTCTGTACCACAAAAGAGGAGCTGTGCATAGATCTGTAAACATCTGAACCCCTACTCATTAAACAATCTATTAATAATACTTCAGATGGCTGAAATATGATATTTTAAATGTTTGTACTGGGGGGAAAATGGCACAAACAAACCATGTTGAGCTATTCTAATCTACTTCAAGTCTGGCTAGCTCAATAGGCTTAACATTTTTTTTTTTTCTTTTTTTTGAGACAGAGTCTTGCTCTGTTGCCCAGGCTAGAGTGCCGTGGCATCAGCCTAGCTCACAGCAACCTCAAACTCCTGGGCTCAAGTAATCCTTCTGCCTCAGCCTCCCGAGTAGCTGGGACTACAGGCATGTGCCACCATGCCTGGCTAATTTTTTATATATATATTTTTTAGTTGTCCAGATCATTTCTTTCTATTTTTTTTAGTAGAGACGGGGTCTCGCTCTTGCTCAGGCTGGTCTCAAACTCCTGACCTTGAGTGATCCACCCGCCTCGGCCTCCCAGAGTGCTAGGATTACAGGCGTGAGCCACCGCGCCCGGCCTTAACATTTTTTGAATGAGCTTTTGTGGCTAGTTTACTATGAAGCTACTATGACAGCGTGAATAGTTTTCAGGCGTTCTGAGAAAAAATTACCAATTATTTTCATAGCTTTAAGCTCTAAGAAAGAATTACTTCTGATTCAGTTTGTTTCTCATCATTTCATCTTCACCCAGAGAAATCAGACATCTTCCCAGTGGCGATAAATGACTATGCCAGCAAGCAAAGCATTAATGAATTTTCACTTAACAATTGGATCTCCCCTTAACCAAACAGCAAACAGCCCACTTTCAATTCAGATTAACACTTCAGTTTCCCCAAATATTGACCTGCAGTCTAAAGTAAAGAAACTGTATCCTTGTCAGTAAACATTTCTTTTTTTCCTTGGAGCCCTTTATGATAGAGGTAATAATTCACTCTATTATAAATGTCTAGATTGATATTTTTGTGAAAAACAGAACTGCATTTATGTCTTTGATACTGTAATATTTACTTTCATAAATATTTAGTAATGCCTTATATGGATAACCTAGAAACATTACCAAATTTAGGTACTTTCATTTTTTCCACATAAAATTTCCTTGACTTAAAGACACCCTGGCAGCACGGTACTATTGTGCCTAATGTAATGGATGTGATCCTCCTATAGGCGAATGAGCTTTGTATGGAGAAAAAGCATCTTACCAGAATAATCACTATCCCCAAGGCCAGATAGAGGTACAGCTATTAACACAAAGAAGGGTGTCCTTCGGTATAGGAAAGTTCTTTCAGTATGGAACAATGCTCATCTCTGAGACTGGATACTCCATTATCACAGCAGAAAGACTAAAACCCTACTTTCTCAACAGAATTAGAACAAAAGTACAAAAACTGATTAAAGGGTAAAGTGTTGTGTTCTGTACATTGCTACATTGTGTGTTTCAGAATTAATACTGAACCCCCTAAAGGAAAGGATGTTTGTAAGCCTCTGTCTGGCAGGGGAAAATACGAATGGGAAATCATTTATCCACTACTACGGGATGCAGGCACTCAGGTGGTTCGCTTTGCAAATCCACCTTCTCCCTCAGGAGCCCTGTCCCAGAGCTAAGAGCTCGGCTTTCTTGTACACTGCTGTAGCCCCAGCTCCTGGAACGAATGCCTGGCAAATGCCCCATTACATCAGCTTGTCCCTTGTCACTGGATCATCCCTACCTTCATATAAACGCTGTAATTTCTCCTGTCTTACGTAAACACTGTCTACCACATATCCTCTAGTTTCCACCCCACTTTCTGCTCTTCTTCATCATAAACTCTTAAATAAAGAGCTGTTTCTATTCACTGTCACCACTTCCTCACCCCCTGGCCTCTCTTAATCCCACCCAATCGGGCTTTTGTTCCTATCACATCACCTCTCCTCAAGGTCACCAACCTCCTCCATGTTGCCAACACCAAGGCGCACACACATCACCTGAGACGGCCTCTCGGCAGCGTGACACAGTTGATCCCTCTCTCCTTGAAACATCCTCACTGGGCTTCTGGGACCGTGATTTTTCCTCCTATCTCTCTGGTCTCTCCTCAGTCTCTTTTGTGGATTCTCCTTTGCTTCCTGACTTCGAAAAGTTGCCATGCCCAGCTTTCAGATCTCTTCTCTACCTACACTCTCTTCTTAGAGATATTTATCCAGTCCCATGGCTTTAAAGAGACATACAAGTCCCTCACTGCCCCTCCAGGGACCTCCAGATCTGTATTTCCAACCAGCTACCCAACATGCCCACTTTGCGTCTTCTCAAACTGAGTTTGTCCAAAACTGAATTCCTGACCTTCTCTACCTCACCTTCAACCTATTCCTCCCCTAAAGTTCTCTATCTGTAGCAGAGACTGCCAGATGTTTGCCAGATCTGCTGGTAACCTTCTGGACACCTGCCAGACTACATTTCCCAGCCTCCCTGGGAAATGCAGCAAGGTGTGGCCATTAGACTGAGTTTTAACCAATGGAATGTGGGGACTAGTCAGACTTTCCAGGCATCCACCTCTAGGCTTTCCCTTTTCAGCCTGCTTGATGCAAACGTGCAGACCTTGGGAAGCCACGTGTTAAAGACGGTAGGAGACAGAGTCCCCAAATCACCGACTGGCGAACAGCTGGTCCACCAATCAGGAGCACCCACTGGGGCTTTACAAGTAGAAATAAACTTCTACTGTGTTAAGCCACTGAGAATGCTGGACTTTATCTGTTACAGTAACATTACTATAATTAATACACCAGGTCAGAAAAAGGCACCACCATTCACTCAGCCACTTAGGTCAAAACCTATGACTCATTCTTAAGTCCTTTCCTTCTCACCATCCACATCCAATCCACTGGCAAGGCATGAAAACTCTACCTTTTAAGTATCTCCTAATCTGCTTAGTTCTCATCACAGCCACTACTCTCACCCTAACCCAAGCCACCTGATCTTTCAACCAGATGACTGCAATAGCCCCTGTTTTGCGTCCACTCTTGACCCTACATGGGTTAAGCATCCCAAATCCAAAATCCAAAATGTTCCAAAATCAAAACCTTTTTGAGCACAGACATGACACTCAAAGGAAATGCTCACTGCAGCATTTTGGATTTCAGATTTGGGATGCTCAACCAGTAAGTATAATGCAAATATTGCAACATCTAAAGAAAATCCAAAATCCAAAACACTTCTGGTCCCAAGCATTTCAGATAAGAGATACACAATCTGTATCCTATTCACCACAAAACAGCCAAAGTGATCTTTCCAAAACAGAAAACAAGACCAGACCCTACGTCTTGCCACGCTCTCAGATCTCCTGCTTTTCCTCTCTCCTCACTCATGCCTCTTGCCACACCTGTGCACACCACAGGTGTGCCCCTTCCCAAACCTTCGCATTTACTGTTGGCTCTACCTGGCTCCCCCCTCATCATTCAGTTCTCTGCTCAAATGTTTCCTCCTCACTTTGGTTTTTCCTGACCACCATGTGCCCAAGAGTTAGCCCTCTTGAGCACTCTCTAACTCCTTAATTACCTTGCTTTATTCTTCTTCAAAGCATTTCTCACTACCTGGATTCCACATATATTTACTTATTTGTTTACTGTCTATATCCCTCGATGAATGCAGGGGAGTTTGTCTTCTCACAGGACTTCACTCCCAAGTGAGATTATGCCCCCAGAGAGATGAATGGATAGGTTCAATCAGATGTCTCCTCTACGTGGTGAACTCACATGGGCATCCTGCAAGTGGGCAATTAAAGCCCACTGTTAAGCACTTAAGTCTGATTGTGTGGCTCAAATCTCAGCTCTGCCACTTATTAGCAGCTATGTGACCTTAGGAAATTTCTTAACTAATTCTAAGCCTTAGTTTCCCCATCTGTAAAAACAGGACTCACCTCATTAGAAGACAGACAGCCATGCAAAACCCCTGCCAAAGGCCTGGCACCTAGTGACACGTTATTATTAAAAGTAAGCAGCTGGCAACGCTGGGCTGGCCATATCAATCATCCATGACCCCTCTAACTTGTCTGTCCCCATAGTGCCACGGTTGTAAAATATTTTTAACATCAACCCTGGTGGTAACATTTTAACTACAGTCCTTACATCTCTCCTGCTTTCTAAAGCTGTGAAAGTTCTCCTAAAACTGAACTGGCAGACCTCTTCCAGGTTTTACCCCACATTCCACCTTGTATTGGAGTATTTAGTAAAGTGTTTCTCTTCTACTGAACTGTAAAGTTCCTTAAACACGGGCATCTTTCTTTCCCTCCCTCCCTTCCCTCCTTCCTTGAGATGAGGTCTTGATACATGGCCCAGGCTGGACTTGAACTCACCGGCTCAAGTGATGTCTATTTCAAATGTGTCTTAATTCTTCATTTCCTCACCCTCCCCATGGTCCCTGACACTGTGGTTTGCAGTGGTAGGCATGCCATAAATACTTCTGAATGGAAATCTTGCACAAGCAACCATTCCTTGGGTACTACTGTCCATACTTGTCTAAACCTAAAAATCACCTGGGGCACTTGTAAAAACTACAGTTGCCAAGGCACCAGCCCACACCTACCGAATGTGAAATTGGCAGCAAGATGGAAGCATATCTAGGATCTTTATTTCCAATAAACATCCCAGCCCATTCTTTTATCAAATGAGTTTGGGAAACATGGTCCTAAATTATCACCCAAGATGTTGCTTTTTCTGTTCTATCACCTGTCACGCATCACTCGGTTTATTGAAAAGCTTCCCTGCAAGACAAGGCTTTCATCTATATGTCTCACAGACAGGCACTGCTTTATTTAAAACTCCCGGAAATGTTACCAGTTTGGTTGTGTATCAATATAGTTTCTATCTTGATGTATAACACCTTTGAAAATTAAGAGTTCTCATTGAACCCAAATCCTCGTCCCTCTCACCCACTTCACCTAAATCCAATCTTATCTACCTACTCTGGTACTAAAGTATGACTTTGTTTCTTTCCCTTTTTTTAATGATGGTGAGTCAGGTACATCCTCTTCCCATTGTTTAAAAAAATTTTAGGAGTGTCATGTTTTAGTCTTTCCAATTCATGACACACTTTAAATGAATTCATGGCTGACTCATGAACAACACACCTGGTAATAACATCAAAAAACACAGAGAACCTCCTGTCCAAACCCTAACAGTTACCGCCACATTGGAGAGCCTCCTCTTGAGAGAGCTACACTATCTCTGTACAGTTAATGATAAAAACTAAAGGCAAATGATGGTTTCAGTTCCCTTTGAATCCAAATCCAGCGTCCTTTTACTCCCCAAAACTACAATGATAAGTCGACCTCCCCTCACAGCGCGAGCTTTGGTCAATGCTGACAAAATGAATCCTGCCAGAAACACAAAAGCATGGTTCGTCTCTCAAACCTTAGCTCTTTGAAATGACACCGAGCAACTGACTCTGAGTCACAGCTACCAACATTTTAATCCGTTTTCTCAGAGCCCAGATGCTCCCAAACTATTTCTGTACAATAACTGCCCTCGCAGTGGGCAGCCTGAAGGAAAGGTCCTTGCGTGAGAGGGACCGGTGCCAGGATGAGGGTCCGGGCTCTGCTACTAGCTGGCTACGACTGAACTTGAGCAAATCCGTCCCTCTCTCAGGGCCCCATTCTCGTCAACTCCAAAGAGAACCAGCTGGACTTAGAAAAGCCCTCAGGCTTCTTCCATCTCTAAGAACTGGGGGTCACAGGGTAATCAAGACCTCAATCCCATAACAGACTATTTTGAGATTACCTAATCTAATCCTCTCGCTTCAAAGACTAAGAACCAAAGTGAAAGTTGCTTGGCTTTCAGTCCAGCGACCTTCCCACACCACGATGCCCCTTCCAGGAATACGACCACCTGAGGAAAAACGGGTTCAGCCCTGCCTCAACTCTAATGACGAGCAGGCAGCCTATTCCGTTTGTTTTTGTTTTGTTTTGTTTTGTTGTCACTTGTGCACTTCCATCTAGCTGGAAAGGACAATGCAGGAGCGTTTAGGCCACACCCTAACTAAATCCCTACCGCCCTACGCGGCAGCAGTCTCACCTGCTTCTGAGCTCAAGGTGAAGGTGGCTCCGTCTCCACCCAAGCTCTCCTCGGAGCAAGCCCGCAATAGAGAAACGACGCCACTCTCCCGACCCCAACTTGGCCCAGGTCTCCCCATGCCCCAAGGAAGTCTCCCCGCACGGCTGTACCTGCTCCGCCACGGCGCGACCCTCTGCAGTAACCACAGACACCCGTGCCCCACGGACGCCGCCATCTTGTCTCCTCCTTCTTAGCGGGCCACGCCCATGACTTCCGAGTCGCGAGCTCGTTGGGCCAATGAGGAACGCGGAATGGTAGGGGCGGAGCCGGCTAAACTCCGCCCCGTGACTGTTCACGGAGATCCCAATCCTGGCACCTCCAGAGCCAGGTGGAACAGGAGTAGGCTGTGGGGGCGTTGGTTGCGCTACACCTAGGCCGAGGGGCTGCGCTGCCAGTCCTCGTGCCTTTCCGCACATGCCTGGAAAATCAGAGTCATTCAAGGTTTGAAAATGTCGTATCACCTGATCCAGCTCGCTCACTTTACGGATGGGAAAACAGTGGGCATCCACGAGCCAGCTGTCATTTTTTTTTTTTTTTTTTTTTGAGACAGAGACTCACTGTGTTGCCTGGGCTAGAGTGCCGTGGCGTCAGCCTAGCTCACAGCAACCTCAAACTCCTGGTCTCAAGCGATCCTCCTGCCTCAGCCTCCCGAGTACTGGGACTACAGGCATGCGCCACCATGCCCGGCTAATTTTTTCTATATATTTTTAGTTGTCCAATTAATTTCTTTCTATTTTTAGTAGAGACGGGGTCTCGCTCTTGCTCAGGCTGGTTTCGAACTCCTGAGCTCAAACAATCCGCCCGCCTCGGCCTCCCAGAGAGCTAGGATTACAGGCGTGAGCCACCGCGCCCAGCCCAGCTGTCATTTCTTAAAGGCCAAGTTCTGTTATGAGCACTCCGCGTGCATGGTGTCATATCATTCTAACCTCCCACCGCTGTACTGCCAAGGAGACCAGACGCCAAGCGTCTTGGATCACCTAGAAATGCAACTAGTCGTGAAACTAAGTTCCTGGTGTGACGGTGCTTTCTCCTGTTGAGATTCCTTGTCTTCAGTTGAAACGGGAAAGCGAGTTTTCAGTAGTATCTGCTACTTTTTACTGAGCACTAACTAGAGATTCACAGCTAGCTCGGAGACATTGTCCCCATTTTAAAAATGAGGTACCTGAGGCTCAGGCAGGTTAAGCAACATGCTCAAAGGCACACAAAGGGTACGTGCTGAAAAGCTATAAAGTAGTAAAGCCAGACTTTGTATTTTTTTCTTTTTTCACACAAATACAAAGAGGAATAAAGCCAGAATTTGAATGTACGCCTCTGACTCCAAAACCCATGATCTAAACATTCTTCCTTTTAAGCCCTTTACCTAGAATCTGGCTGAATTTGGGTCCAAAAACTGAAGGAATGCCCCCCTTTTTCCTCTGCTAAGCTACTTATCACAGTTGTGTGACATTTGACACAAGAGGAGGAATATGCTGCCTGGTGCCTGCAGTTATCCTGTGTTGTTATTTAGTTCAACTGGAGTATAACCAGCACCTACAGGGAGCGTAACAGGCATCAGGTTTGGTATTGGAGGGAAAATACGTCCCTCTGTTGTGGTTTTCAAAAGTCTGAAAAGGAAAAAAGCATAGAATTGGTTTTATTATCCAATTGAGAATAATAACACAAAACCAGGGAGTCGGGAAAATTATTTCAAAATGAAGTGCATTTGGGAAAACTGAATATCCACATAGAAAAGAATGAAATAGACTTTATCTTATATTATACCATATACAAAAATTAATTCAAAATGAATCAAAGAGCCAGGTGCTGAACATACTCCTGTAGTCCCAGCTACTGGGGAGGCTGAGGCAGGAGGATGGTTTGAGCTCAAGAGTCCAGCCTGGGCAACACAGCGATACCCTATATGTCTGTTAAAAATATATATATATATCAAAGACCTAAACTGAACTAAAACTATAAATCTCTTAGAAGAAAACATAGGGGAACTCTTAACGACACTGGATTTGGCAATGATAAATTGAACTTCAAAATTAAAAACTTTTGTGCATCAAAATATACTATCACGAGAATGAAAAGACAACCCACAGAACGGAAGAAAATATTTCCAAATCATATATCTGATAAGGGTATAGTATCCAGAATATATAAAGAATTTGTAAAACTCAACAATAAAAAGCAAACAACCTAATTCAAAAATGGGTAAAGACTTGAACAGACATTTCTCCAAAGAAGATACATGAATGGCCAATAAGCACATGACGAGATGCTCAACATCACCAGTCATTAGGGAAAAGCAAATCAAAAATCACAATGAGGTATCCCTTATACCTACTAGAATGGATATTATTTTTAAAAATGGAAAATAAGGAATATTGGCTAGAATGTGGGGAAATTGGAAATTTTGTGTATTGCTGGTAGAAAAGTAAAATGGTACATGTGCTGTGGAACAGTTTGGTGGTTCTTCAAAAAATTAAACATAAAATTTACTATATGATCTGCCAGTTTTACTTCCAGGTATAATCCAAAAGAATTGAAATCAGGAACTCAAACAGATACTTGTACACCAATATTCATAGGAGCACTATTCACAATAGCCAAAAAGTGGACAAATAGATGAATCGATAAACAAAATATGGTATATCCATATAATAGAATATTATTCAGCTATAAAAAGAAATGAAGGCCAGATGTGGTGGCTCACACCTGTAATCCTAACACTCTGGGAGACTGAGGTGGGAGGATCGCTTAAGGTTAGGAGTTCAAGACCAGCCTGGGCAACATAGCGAGACCCTGTCTCTACAAAAAATAGAAAAAAATTAGCCAGGCAAGGTGGCTAATGCCTATAATCCTAGTACTCTGGGAGGCCAAGGCAGGAGGATTGCTTGAGCTCAGGAATTCAAGACCAGCCTGAGCAAGAGCGAGACCCTCTCTCTACTAAAAATAGAAAAATTAGCCAGGCGTGGTGGCAAGAGCCTGTAGTCCCAGCTACTCGAGAGGCTGAAGCAGAAGGATCGCTTGAGCCCAGGAGTTCAAGGTTTCAGTGAGCTATGATGATGCCACCGCACTCTAACTGGGGCAACACAGTGAGACCCTGTCTCAAAAAAAAAAAAATTGCCGAATAATTTTCCAAAGTGATTATATCCTTTTACATTCCTACCAGCAATGTATGAGAGTTCTGGTTGCTCCATATTTTCGCCAATGTTACTTTTAGCCATTCTGATGGATGTGATGTAGTATCTCATCATGGTTTTAATTTGTATTATCTGGAATATCAATAATATTAAGCACTTTTTCATGTGCTTATTGACCATTCACATATCTTCTTTTGTGTAGTGTCTGCTCAGGTCTTTTCCCCATTTTAAAAAATTGTATTTCATCACTAATCATCAGGGAAATGCAAATTAAAACCACAGTGAGATACACCTTATTCCTGTCAGAATGGCTATTATTAAAAAGTCAAAAACCAGTAGATGTTGATGCAGATGAAGTGAAAAGGGAATGCTTACACACTGTTGGTGGGATTGTAAATTAGTACAACTTCTATAGAAAACAGTATGGAGATTCCTCAAAGAACTAAAAGTAGACCTACCATTTGATCCAGCAATCCCACTACTGGGTATGTACCCAAAGGAAAAGAAGTCATTATACCAAAAAGACACATGAATTTGTATGTTTATCACAGCACAATTCACAATTGCAAAGATATAGAATAAATCTAAGCGATCATTGACCAATGAGTGGATAAAGAAAATATGGTATATATACCATGGAATACTACTCAACCATAAAAAAGAATGAAATAATGTGTTTTGCATCAAGTTGGATGGAACTGGAAGCCATTATCCTAAGTGAAGTACCTCAGGAACGGAAACACAAATACTGGATGTTCTCACTTATAAGTGGGAGCTAAACAATGGCCATACAAGGTTACATAGAGTGATATGATGAATTTGGGAGTCTATAAGGGGGGAAGGTGGGAGGAGGATGAGGGATGAAAATTACCTATCAAGTACAATGTACACTATTTGGGTGATGGGTACATTAAAAGCCCTGACTTTACCACTATACAATTTATCCATGTATTAAAAAACCACTTATACTCCCTAAATCAATTGAAATTTTTTCAATTGGGTTATTTGATTTTTTCTTAATGAGTTATCAAGGTTGTTTATATACTCTGGATAGAAGTTCATTGTCAGATACATGTATTTCAAGCATTTCTTCCAATCTGGACTCTAGTGATCTCTATTTGTTCCATTGATCTATCTTTTTGAGATCATATTTTTATTGATACATAATATTTGTATATGTCTATAGGGTACCTTTGGTTTGTGCTTTTTTTCTTTAGAGATGGGATCTTGCCATGTTGCCCAGTCTGGAGTGCAGTGGCTGTTCACAGGCATGATCATGGGGCACTACAGTCTGGAACTCCTGGGCTCAAACAATCCTCCTACTTCACCCTCCCAGGTAGCTGGACCTATAGGTATACGCCACCACACCTGGCTTCATGTGGTATTTTCATACAGGCATATGATGTGTAATAATCAAATCAAAGTATTTAGGATATCCATCACTTCTAACTGATCTATCTTAATTACTGTTGCTTAATTGAAATCAAGGGGTATGGGACCTCCAATTTTCTTTCTTCTCTTTCAAGATTGTTTTGGCTTTTCTAGGTCCTTTGCATTTCTATAACAGTTTTAGAAGCAGTTTGCCAATTTCAACAAAAAAGCCGGTTAAGATGTTGGGATTGTGTTGAATCTAGAGATCAATTTGAAGAAAATTAACATTTTAACAATATTAGGCCTCCCAATCCATGGAACTGATATAGCTCTCCATCTTTGGCTTTTTACAATCAGAACTATGGTAAAAGTATAAATTAGTGCTTTTACTCATTCCTGAGCAAATGCAAGCATCTTAGAACATTTTAACTCCATATATCCCCTTCTGGCCTTTTGTGTTAATATTGTTATGCATCTTTATTCTACTAAATTTTTTTGTTTGTTTTTACAGGAATATACATAGCAGCTTTTTTTATGAGATTCCAAAACTGGAAACAACCCAAATGTTCATCAGCAAGATTACAGACAAATTACTGTGTATGGTATTAATGTATTTGTATAATAAAATGCCCCTATGCACCAAAAAATGAATGAGCTAACAGGACTCACAACAACATGGATAAATCTCAAAAAACATTACATTAAGCAAAATA